TTATCGATTTGGTGAAGAGATCACATTCAATGAATAATGTTTATATATACAGATCTTAGGACGATGATTTTGGAGATGTTACTTTCACTGAATTGAATTGTTTAGTTGTTGTTCGGCTTTCACTATCCTTCTAGACAATATCATCAGAGAATACTTTTAAAAGAAGTGAGTTATTAGAATTTCTCTACAATTTCATAACAGCTTGTTTTATTCCAGGTGATTAGAACAATGTCTCTTTTATAACTAAACTATCCAGTTCAGAGAACACAACACCTTCAAAATGTTTGCTAATGAGTTCATAATTATTTTGTTTTGTATATAATTTTATTAAATTAATCGAAATTTAAAATCATATTACTTAGAGGTTCTTTCCTTTATTATGTTGCTTCAGCTATAAACAGACGAGTAACTTAGACTTTCGCAGTCTTTTATGACTTATATATTGTATTATCTGTTATCTTTTACAAAAAACTAAAACAAAATTCATGACTCCTGCAAAAAGATAACTATGGATTTGTTGGTGAGTGTTGTGGAGAGTATTGAATCTGAAGTTGTATATTATTGACTGGCACAAAAATTAATAATTACAGTCAATAAATGCATACCAAAAAATAACTTCGAAACGTATTGCCCGGAGTTCTAGGGAGAAAATGTGACCAATGGAGTTCAATTATGACTTCTGTGTAATAATAATCACCAGTTGTAGTCGAATATCAGTGATCTGAAAGTTAAGCGCTCACTGTGTAATTTGAAAATTTTGAATTCGATCCTTGACGATTTCAGGGGTGGGCATTGCTGAAGAGACTCCAACAAGTCAGCTGTTCAGGGCTTTCTACTTTTCACTGGTTTTCTAATCAAAATCAGTCCATTATGAGAAAATTCAAAAAAATTAAATCCATGTTCGTTTATTATTGATATTGATGTTTCCTTAAACTATGTTATTTTATTCAAATCAACCTTATTTTCTTCCTCATTTGACAGACAGAATTATTTTCTGTTTTATAATAATTCATTTTTAAATATAACAGTCTATTGTTGTTATTTTTGCCAGATGAATTTACTTTAATGACAAAAGGTTTTTTCTTATTACAAACAATCCTATTTCACTTAATTTAACGTAACAATAACGGTTAAATATTAACCATTACTATACACATACCCAACTAGATATTACGAATAGTATGTATCAACATGGATAATTTCAAAGATATCTCTTTCTTGAAGGATATCTTCTCTTTTGATAAAACTTTGTCCCTTTGATATCCGGTAAACCACTTGATTATTTCAAAATAGAACTCTGTCATTTCTTCTGTCATATGTTACATCCAAATTGCCATTTGACAATATTTTTAGTGATTTTTTTCAAATTAGTGTCCTATGATGGAGATTTTAACTTACATTTACATTAAATTGTATAATCAAGAAATTAACAGAGTTCATTCCTTGGAAGAATTTTCTAAGCTTAATACAAATACTAAACCAATAACACTAGTTTATAAACTTCATAGATATTCAAGATTAATGCACATCATTCAGATTTCAAATAACATGTTCCTAATTAAATCGCACTACATTAAAATTCTTTATAGCAAACAGTTAAAAAGTACCTAATATATTACAAAGTAGGGTTAATTTTAACATTAGATTCACTAATGAACTAAGAATAAACAAAAACCTAAGAGTAATCACTAACAAAATATTGACAAGACATTTTGTTGTTATGAAATACTATATCATTTGGGAACGAAGATCGGTTTATTTTTACTACATATTTTGATGATCCATCATCTCTAGATTTTCGATCACAATGATGATATTTATTTGCTCTTGATTATGATCATGTAAGAGACGTAGTTCTAATTCATAAGTTGTAGTTTCATTAACCATTAAATAAATAAATGTTAGGGAGAAAGACTAATAACTTAAGAGAAATTGCAAACAACATAAAAAACATATTGTGTAAATCTTGTTTTTAAGTAACTAAATTCATTCAACATGACAATTTATCGTGTGTCTGACTTCATGAAAAGAAGTTTATTTAGACATGTATTGAAACAGCAATTTCGATCATGGAATATATTTATCTTTGAGAGAAAATAAATCACTACTTTAATTGAATGGTATTTCATCTTTGGTTCAAGATTCTATTGAACGGATGTCAGATGTATGGATAGTGGCTAGTAGTGGAATCCCAGACGCGCGTTTCGTTTTATTTGGAACTCGTCAGCTGGATGTACCTGCATCCCAGAGTTGATGATGACTTTTTAAAGCATTTAATTCTCATGATGAATGAAGAATTATGATGAAATTTCAAATAGAATTATAAGATATTTCAGCTAATTTATGATCAAAAAGTTATTTGTCTACCAAAATCTGATGAGAACATTGTGAAATGTTACAATATTGATCGTAAATAATATCCCTGATCTGAATACTATATTTCTTTTAATTACTATCAATGCAAAAATCCAATCAGTTTTGTCTTGATTTAAGACTCCTTAGCAATTCACATGTATGACTTCAAATAAAATGTGAAACTGTGTACCATGGCTAACACTATTTTGTAAGATGATTGTATCGATAGTTTAAGTTGATAAATGCAAATTTATTTGGGATGTCGTACGAAAATTATCTGATTTGACCTGTCTCTCAACCACATTGAACCATAACGATCAACATTTCTTTTAAACATTTTTGAAATTCATTATGAAATAGATTATTATATGTAGGACATTCAATTTGGAATGCGAAGTTGGCTTGAACTATTTAGACTCATATATAAAAAATGACATTGAATTCCATTTTCTTAATACGTTTTGTGAATAGAAGTTATATAAACAAAAAGTATGTTAAAATACCCATTTTAAGAACAAGAACAGTAGTTTGATATATTCGTATTCAGTGCGCATATCAAAATTGGTTTTTCATAATCGTTCATATTCGTGAAAACCCTTTAAGAATATATTTTTTCTGTACAGCTTGTTTTATTCCATTAACATTATCATAATGATCTGTTGTTTGTCCTTAAATGCCAAAGAAAAAAACAAAGCACTTTGTAAATTATTCTGATTTAAGGGAACTTCATCCATAATCGATCAAATTTGAACAGTGTGCAGACTATTGACCATTTATCTAGTACTTATGAAGAAATTTACATCTTTGATACTCAAATCTAGATGATTAGTGTACAATTTTACATGTAAGCATGTAAGCACATTCGATATTCTTCTATAATGATATGTAATTACTTCAGTGTAAATAATTCTAATGTTTCCTCTGACAAATTAGTTCGATCTCACTCAACAAATATAAACGATATCCACATTATCAAAGAATGTATACATAAGTAACAAGATCTTATCTAATACTTATCCAATTGTGTTTATTTGCTTATGATAAGGTTACGACATAATCTAATACATGAAAATTGTTCATTACATGAAGAATGTATGTATGTTGTGCATATATCTGTATCTCATATCACTGCAAGTTCCGATATGTCCACTTTGTTTACAAATGCACTCTGCAAGCAAGCGTTAGATATAATTGATGAATGTTCGGGATCGGGTAAAGTATAAAATTCACGTCATCTGTTATATTTTCTTCAGATTATTAAATGTTTGAAATTATATCAGTGTTATACACCATTCTTTTTTTCAGGTGATCTATATCGACAGAGAGAAGAAGAACCGACGAATTCATCACTATTACCTATAATTTCAAATTTCTTAATAAGCGTTTCAGACAATAATGCAATTATGAGATACGGGTATCCACCTAAAATTTGGTTTCGATACGTTAATGACATATTCGTTGTATTCAGATATGGCAGATTATAAGAAATATTTGAAATGGTTAACAATAAGTAGAAAAGTATTAAATTGACCGAAAAGATTGACACTGTAGATCATAAACTAATATTTCTCGAATGTTTGGTTGGAAGAATTCATAACTATAGTGTAAAGACTAGCATATTCTGGAAATCAACAATATTAAGAAAGATAATTAGATAATGAGTCAGAAAAGTCAATTCCAGTGAAAGTTACAGTCGTTAGAAATTTGGTAAAAAGCAGTAATTAGCTTCTTATGAAAGCAAACAATAAACATGCTGAAGTTAATTTGATTCCGTTAATATTTAGAGCAAATAAGTGAAGAGAGAAGAACAAATCATAATGTACATAGAGAGAATGGAAACTCATGGTAGTCATACCATATTGTAAAGAAACATCGAAAGAAACAAAAATTATTTTAAACAGACATGATATTGGTTATTTTTGAGCCAGTGACACTATTAGATCAACTTTAGTTAGAGTAATGAGACAGGATACCAAAAGAGAAACAATAAGACTGCATTTATGAAATTAAGTGCAATGAGTGTTGTGCTGTGTATGTAAGAAAAATATCTAGATAGTTGAACATCAAGTTGAAGAAGCCCTAAAAATGTTTGAAACCTATTTCCAAATTCTTAGCTGAACCCAATAAGCTGAGAAACAGCTAAGCAATAGAGCAATATGTATTAGAAAAACGATTTTGAAGGGACGAAAATACTTTAAAAACGATTCAGCTTATCTAACGAAGGAATTACATCCGAAGCTTTGTGTATATGGGCGAATCAGAACAGTATTCATAAAAGAGACATTACGGAAAGTGATTATTAATAAATAAATACAAGGATCGTAAACTACCACTACATGAGCAATTTTAGCAACACCAATGGACACTATGATAATAATTATGACTATTTAGTTTTAAAATCTATGCATATCTCAGCTGATCTATTTAACTCTTAAACAGTTCCAGATTCATATTTAACGTAAACGATTAATTGTCCTTATATGTAAACAGATTCATCCTTTATTCACTGTTTCTTATAGCAGTGACATATAGATATATGCACAACATACATACATTCTTCATGTAATGAACAATTTTCATGTATTAGATTATGTCGTAACCTTATCATAAGCAAATAAACACAATTGGATAAGTATTAGATAAGATCTTGTTACTTATGTATACATTCTTTGATATGAGATCGAACTAATTTGTCAGAGGAAACATTAGAATTATTTACACTGAAGTAATTACATATCATTATAGAAGAATATCGAATGTGCTTACATGCTTACATGTAAAATTGTACACTAATCATCTAGATTTGAGTATCAAAGATGTAAATTTCTTCATAAGTACTAGATAAATGGTCAATAGTCTGCACACTGTTCAAATTTGATCGATTATGGATGAAGTTCCCTTAAATCAGAATAATTATTCAAATACACATTCTACATTTAACGTCTCCTGTGTTCTCGGCGCCCGATTTCTGTCAAAGTATTCGTTGATATTTTGTGGATAGCTGATATCAACTCTTCAGTCGCTTTACGTTATTAAATATGTAACATACCTTATATACCAGTGCTTCTTGATTTGCTCTTCATCTCATAAACACTTTTCACTAATCTAAACTCCACGTATAGAGAATACAATAAAAACAACGATGTTCGAATAAATACGGTTATTGTAAAATCTTTCTAAAAAATATATTGCTGAAATTTTCGATGTTTTTGTGAAAAACCATAGCTAAATTAGTCACATAATTATCAAAATAAAATCTCAATTACTGTAAAAACTAATACACTGAGTTAAACATATATTGAACAGTTAGATGCAACTGGTAACAGCAATTGAATTTCTCTGTTGTACCAGTATACTTAAATAATTGAACAATGCTCTTATTTCAAGTTTCATTATAATTATCCACTATATTTGACACTCCATACAGCTAATATTCTGTGCCTATATCTATTTCAATTTATACTATCCGGCATTAAGTGAAAATAACTTGATCGTCTATTGATTCATTGATGATTTTTTGCATTATTTAATTGATTAAATAGAATAAAAATGGAATATCTAAACTTTTTATTCGACATATCACCACTCGAGAAAAATAGATAATCAATAGTGAATCGTTTAATGGAAACAAAAATATCAAACTATTGAAAATATTACATTAAATTCAAGTTTATTATTTGTGTTTGTGTAATTTATTCAAATTCCATATACAAATGATCAAATAAAACCAATTCATTTTAACACTTAAACCTTAAATCAATTGTATCATTGAACAAAACTTCAGGAGTCCCTACAGGGGCTACTGCCTGTCCCAAGCCCGGATAAAGGAGGAAATGTTGTTAGAAACTAGTGTGAGATACTGAACATTAGTTTCTATAGCTTTACAAGTAGAAAGTGTATTGTTTTAACATTTTTCATTACTCATCACATTTGTAGACATATAGTTTTATTGTAGTATATGAAGTTAATTTTCTTGCCATAAAACTCTTCTTATAGAATCGTTACGATTAGATATCTGGTTCACTATAAATGAAATTAGATTATTCAACAGAATTACAACATTGTATACTTTTAACGAATGTTTACTGAAAAAACAATCATAATTTTTATATTATATAATTCAATAGAATTTATACACTGTGAATTCTGCCCGAAGCCTTTCTATGATTACTGAAGGTCATAAGCTCGGATAAAAAAGAGGTGAGCATTGGGTTAGCTATCTTATCCTGTAGTAAAGGTCCTTGTTGAAATAATATCCATTATTTCGTGCATAAAATTTAAATTCTCGTTTATCTGTTTCTTATTAGCATTGATTTCTGATTTCATTCCATTTTATTTGATACAGTCTGTTCACGTACAACGCATTGATCATGGTTCAAACTCCGGATTTAATCTAACATTAACATCAAGCAATCTACAAAACATTGGTAAGCAACATTATGAAGATGTGTTCGTCGAAACGGTGAGTTAAGTAGATTGATAATACATTTTTTTATCAAGCAGAATATCTGAAAATCTTTAAAAATAACTAATTGAGATCTCAATGTTATATGTTTATGTATATTAGCGGAATTCAGTTCAATAAAATTCGAACAAATCACAATAACCTTTACATTCACTTTACAACAGTCTACAGATTACCGACATCTTGATTCTTTATGAAAATTGTTCTAGTGAATACAGTCAGTTATCTTCAATCTACTATATAATTTTAACGTTTATGTTTTTACTGAAACTATTTCGTCCACACAATTTGCATTGAAAACAAATGTAACTTAAATTTTTTTTGGAATAACAAATTTCAACAGCTTACTCAGATCTCAGTGTCTTGTGAAAACTTATCAGCTATTATTTGTATTTTTTGCAACGTACGATATCAGAATAGTGTTGTTTTAAAGTATTAAACATAGTTAAGTCATCTCAGTTCCATACAATTTTTATTCAAAACGTTAGCTGATTCCCTCGATCTTATTAAACAGACACAAGTTTTAGTAAACTTAGATAGTAGCTAGTGCGTTTCTTCCTACTTGAAACTCACCAACTGAATGTGTTTGCATTTCAGTATTGTTGTTCACATCGAGACTCAAACTCAGAATCTTTCGCTACAAACACCAAACACGTTATTCGCTGAGCTGCTGAACACAACTATATTAAATAATATAGTTTTTTTTAATTTCATATTTGATCTTAATAAGGTAATAAGTGTACTTTGCTTTATTTAAATTAATCACTTTTTCCTCTGACATTCAGCCGATATAGACTTATAAAACCTATACTGTGTTCAACAATATATTAAAATTTCGAATGCTTACAAACTCTTAGATACTGACCCCTATCTTGTTAATCTTCCTCATACAATTTTGCTGATTGTTGAACTCTTGTTAAATCACTCATAAAGGTGGTACAATAATATACCATACAAAAGTATAATTTACTTTCATTTTGTGTATAGATGTTTAGTAAGAAGGAATCGTCATTTACTGCAAGCTATGATAATTAAAGCTTAGAAGATAATAACAATGAACTGCCGTCTGCTATATCTTCTGTTCATTGTAATTTATTAAAACATTTTATCACCAGTAATTCATATAAAACAGTACATATTTCACAGTGTAGTTATTTCTAACTAGTCGAATTCATTTTCTTTCAATCCTAATTCGGTTTCAGTCTTGACAATATTTACTTTGACCAGTAAAACTGATAAATATCTAATTTATTTCAATAATCCATGGCAAATTCATAACTTTACCAAAATTTTCAGGATTAAATATGAGTATTACGCTTTTCTGATGGGAAATTATTATTTATAGATTACTACTAATTTATAAAAGAATAAACATAAGTAAACAGACAATTCTGAATAGAAATTCTTTATACATATTTATGAAAATATTTACTTAAAACTTGAAAATATAAACAATGTACTACAACTATTACAACTGACTAACTGATTATTTATTCAGGAAAATTGTAAAAATGGAATCCAAACTGGTGATCAAGTTATACAAATTAATGGTGTATCAGTTAGAAATTTGAAACAAGCAAATGAACTTCTTGAACGATCTGGTAAATCCGTCAGTCTTCTATTACTGAGACCTGTCAAAATTGTAAGTATCGTTGTGTATTTATAATATTTATAATTTACGAATAAACCAGACACTAATTTTATTTCATCTATTAAATGTTTAGAAGATCAATAGTTTCAGGGAGAATATCTTTGTTTATTAGTTTCAAATAAGATTTATAAATAGAACAACACCAATTTGACATCATCAGTGTTGTTTTGTCATACATGTAAATCTCAACAAATAATCGATTATAAACACGAACTTCGATTGATCATAACGAATAAACAGTATCTGAAATTTTCTTCTGATAAGATATAACTATTTGGAAACCACATAATGACAGTTACAACTTGATAAAGACAAATAAAAAATCAATATGCAAAATGCATACTGTTTTGTATGTTTTACTTTATCAATAACTTGTCAGGTTTAATTAATCGTCAACAAATTGAAATGTATCACCTTTTAATCAGTTCATTGATCAGATTAAGCTTTTATTAATGTCAGTATTATGCAAATAAACAACACTGATCACTTAGTAACATAGTTGATCTGTATGTTATTAAATATAGACATTAAAGCACAACTACAATACAACAAAGTCCATTAGAATTATCTATGAATTATCAATGAATTAAATGAACTCAACTATTCATATAACCTTAGTTAACTTACATGAATAGAATTGAACCGAGTTAACTATTGTAAATAAAACTTGCATATTTAACAAGTATTAACATCTCTTCGTGGATTTCTGATAAAATGTAACGATATCTTGGAATATTATGATACGCTTATTTCATATCGCAGAGCAGTATTTTTCATTTCCTTAGTTTTTGCATTGCTACGTACTGAGTGCGTAGGATCCTACTCAAAGAACCATTTCATATTCATAATATTTGTTTGTAAGTATCATTATCAAGGTTTGACTTGATAATTTCAAATAAATTGAGCATTGGGTAGATTGTTATAAACAAATAATATATTTTTAATAAAGCCAAACTAGTGGATATAGCGCATCAGTTTCATTCTTCTGGACCAAAGCAGAGAAGCATATTAACTTCTCAGCACTTCAAATCATTAAGAGAATTGCGAAATAATGCCGATATTATTATACTTAAACCCGATAAATGATCTGGTGTTGCTATTATGAATAAGTCCGATTACAAAAATAAAATGGAATCCATTCGCAGTGATAAAAGCAAATTTTTGACTGATGTTGACTCCTATGGATTACGTAAATTAGAAAAGAAAGTAAACTCGAATCTTGTGAAATTGTTAAACATGAACGCTATTAACAAGGATGAGTTTAATTTATTAAAACCTATGGGTTCGGCGTATCCTAATTTATATGGATTACCTAAAATTCATATGCCTAATACCCCCCTGCGTCCAATTCTATCAGTGTGTCGGCCACTTACACACAACCTTGCAAAATGGCTTACAAAAGTATTAAACCCTATCCGAAATCAATATTGTAAGTATTCCTTGACTGACTCATTTGGATTAATCAAATACTTAAAGGATATAAATATAAAGACAAAGACAATGTGCTCCTTTGATGTGAACACTTTATTTACAAATGTACCTCTCAGGTTAACTATTGATATTTTGTGTGACTACACCACTGCCATTTCCTGTTAACACTCTTGAAGATTTATTATTATTGTGTACGGATAATGCAAAAAATTTACTTTTGATGGTGAACACTTCCGACAAACAGATGGTGTAGCTATGGGTAGCCCTTGAGGACCATTGCTGGCTGATGTGTTCATGGGAAATGTTGAAAATTTAGTTGAAGACTCAATCCGAAAGATGGGTCTGTATAAACGATGTGTCGATGATATAATAATCATAGGGGATAAAGGTGAAGACATAAACGCTGGTTAGAATAATTCAATAGAAGTCAAAAGCACATTTCTCTTACATGTGAAGAAGAGAAGAACAACCAAATTCATTTTCTAGACATCCTGATTAGTAGGAGAGATGATGGTTCCATCCAACGTGCTATATATAGAAAGCCAACATGAACAGGGCAATATCTTAATTTTCATAGTCACTGCCTATTCATTACAAACGTGGTTTAATAAAGAGCTTGTTCAATAGAATCAATCGTATTTGTACTAGTGATACTACTAAAGTAGAGACGAAGCTCTTGACTGATACGTTAATGAATAATGGTTATTCTTTGAAGTTCATAAACCGCTGGAAGGGTTGCAATACGACTAAACCTATGACGCTTGTGGCACCCAAAAAGTGAGTTTACATTACGTTGCTATTCATAAGCGAAACAAATAGTCTCATGTTGAAACGGAGACTTAAATTAGCTATCAACCGGACATTTAATGCAGTCCAACTTGTCATTATCGAAAAGACAAGGTCTATGTTTCACCAAAAGCCCAAACAGCACGAAAGCTATTGTGTCACATCCAATTGTGTCTATCAATTTACATGTATGTGCAGAAACAATCATGATTTTCAATTAAGGGTGGGTGAACACTTACCAAAATGGTTGCAGCAACAAATAGATTCCAATGGTAAAATAAGATCACAGGATAGACATACATCATCATCCATTGCGAAACATTTGATTGAGACGGGTCATAAGGTTGATATCAAGTCAGCATATGTAGTGCTATACAAAAGCCTTCAAGGACGTATACTAAGGTTTATTGAAGCCTTGGCTATACGGAAGTTGAAACCCTATTTATGTGTTCTAAAGCAATTTGTCCTAACACTTAATCTACCCTGGTAATGCTGATTTATTATCCAGAGAGGTAATCACATTTGTTTTTGTGTACTTAAGTATTATTTCTTTTCTTTGTTATGGCCTAACTTTAACCTGTCCAGTTGACCTTTTAATTTTCATGTATAAATGTTCTTAACCACTATATGTGTGATCACATTGTTCCAATTGTATTGCGCAAATATATCTCATCATTCTGATAAACTTCGTCTTCTCATTGCATTATCGAAATTTATTAAAGGGACTGATTCTTTTAAGTATTTTAATAAGTAGAAAAATTAGATTTTCTGACGTTTCGTCACTTAGTGTAAGCCATTTCTTTAGAGCATAAATAAATAACCAAATCAAAATTAATCCAAGTTTGAATAATAGTTTAAATGGTACTATTTAAACTTGGATTAATCTTGATTTGGTCATTTATTTATAATATTTGTTTATTTGTAATTGTAAACCAGTTTGGGTCCTTCATTAATATGAAATACAAAAATGTGCTAGTAACATCATAGTTGCTTTTCTTATGATTTCAGAAATTCTTGTTTATTTAAAGTTTTGAAACTAACCAATTGAATGTTCTCAATCTAACGTAAAAATTTAAGTACTGAATGTAAATTGCTTACATTAAGTCAATCTAACTAACATACTTTATACACATTTTTTTCTAATCATAAAATTGTTATTTTATTTAAGTCGAAAAAGAAACATTGTGAATGTTTTGAAGTGACTATAACAACTTTTCTAAGTTAAAGCTTCAACTATAGTGGGCGGATGATAATCATTACTGAAAGCGGTTTTCAAAAATGAAGAATATTTGAGCGAACAATTGTTTTGAATAACTTGATCATCAGGCTCTACAGTTATAAGTCCATAATTACGATATTTTCTACAAAGGTTGAAAGAAGGCATATATTCATGAATTTGACAATGTTATATTATTCATTTTTTGCATATTGTATGAAGATTTTTAAACTGGTGTGAAAGCAGTCTTGTTACAAAATAGTTTTTTATCGAATAGTGTATTTTTGCATTTCCAAAAGTGTAGCATGTTTTTTCACCATTAAATGTCGATATTTACTCGAGTTGTTTACCGAATTTCCAGTAATTAATTATCTACTAAGAATTTCTCGTAAGGTAGATAGTATTATTATCGACTCTTTAAAACTAAATGTACATGTGATAATACCACAGGTTCCTCAGTTTCATTCAACATATGATAATTCATTATTGCAACTTTAAGTCTTCTGGTTCAAACAACGAAAAGAGTTTATAAAGATTTTTATAATATACATATACACGTGTACCACTGATTAGATTATAACTAATTAGACATTTTTAATTATACTGGTTATTTTTTTTATCTTAGGAAATTCTATTTTTCAAACATAAAATCAACAAACTGATGACCATTATTTTCAAATTTAACTTTGATTACATTCTTCAGTTTCTTTTGTTGTTGCTGTTTTTATAGTCTAATTCAGACGGTGACAAGTCTTTCTGCATTCCCAGTAAAAGTGAATTGATCAACAAAACCTGTATAAAAAATCAAATTATCCAATCATCTCGAACATTACCTCACATGGTTTACACAACACCAGATCGTCTAAGACAAACGATTTGGCTACAACAATATATATTACGAGAAAAATTAAACTTACTATCGAAAACAGATTGTAATATTGATAATAATATTATTGTCAAACAAAATAACTCAAATTTAAATGTGAATGAAAAAAATATGAGTGAGAATCAAACTGAGATTCATGGTGTAACTGGTTCACCTCATAAGCTAGAACCAAGAACATGCAGTACAACACTTACATCTTGGAGAATCAGACGAAGTGCAGATGGAACTCGATATATAACCAAAAAATACAAAAGGTAATTATGGGTCGTATGACACTTTTAAATCGACAATAAACTTTCCCATACATTAAGAACTGAAGTTTTGTCTCAAATAAACTAGATTACTTATTTTAAAAGTAACGTTTTATGGAACAGTTCTTACATGAAGTGGTCTTTGTTTAAATTCCATGGACTGAGGTAGAACAAAGCGAAGAATTCTCTTTTTCACGATAAAATACAGATGTAATTTTACTTCTGTCCTAAAATATCAGAGTTGAGATTTATGAACTTGAAATACACAAACAAATGAAACATTTACTGCATCCTATGTCATGTATTCACGTACGCGGATAACATCATAGATGAACAAGCAGGATCTGATGCAGACGTAAAGGCGAAAATTGGCAAAGTAAGGGCAGCATTCCTACAGTCAAAGAACGTATGAAACTAAAAACAATTGTTAACCAACATTAAAGTCACAATCTTCAATATGAACATCAAGACAGTTCTACCGTGCCGAGCTGAAACTTGAAGAACTACTACAACCATTATCGAAAAGGGACAATTATTTATAAACAATTGTCTACACAAGATACTCAATGTCCGGGGACCGGAAACCATCAGCAGCAGCCTACTATTGGAGAGCAAACTAGCTTCCAACTGAAGAAGAAATTAGGCAAAGACTCTGGAGGTGGATAGGACATACATTGAGGAACTCATTAAACTGCATCACGAAGCAAATACTAAATTGGAATTCTGAAGGGAAACGGAAATGTAAAAGACCAAGGAACATATTGTGTTGGGAACTAGAGGCAAACATAAAAATAATGAATAGCAACTTGAAACAACTGGAAAGGATTGTCTAGGACAAAGTTGAAGGGGGTTTATGCTCCTTCACGAGGTGTAATAGGCGTAAGTAATTTCATGTATGGATTGTGGCGTAATTAGTTTTACTTTACTTTCGATATTTTTCGGTGATTTGGTTGTGAGTATATGGAAGTAGTTAACCTTTGCTTTGGGTCTGACATATCAGCTTTCTATACATCAAAGAATATTGGAGGCTGTTAAAATGAACTATTTTATCTATGAAAGTAAGAAATCTAATACTGAACACATTTATATTATGATTTGGAGTTTGTGATTCATCAAGATAAATGAGATATATACTTCGTCTAACAATTAAGTTTTTATTTTAAGCTATTTGTTTAAACCAAGTGAACCTTTCAAAATAAATCATTTCATTGTTCACTGATATAGTGTCATTTTCGAAAACATGTTTTTCGCTAGGTTTGTAATCTTTTTTCTTTACGTGTAGTATTTTCATGTGCAGTATTTTCAATTTATGTTGATTTTAGACCATCAGAATTTTCAAATTGTAAACCTTTCCGACAGAATGTGGATGATAGACATCAAAATGACAAAAATCTTTCCGTCAGTCGAACCAACTTCTCATGTTCTGATATATCCGAAAAGCATAAGAACTCAGATATTCAGTCAGAGTCTATGACAAATTTCGAAAATGTAAATAGTCGTTTACAATTGTATCATTTCAACAACATCCCAACTGTAAATAATGTTACATCGTCGGAAAGTAACTTGGTAAAACGTTGTGAAATTAAATTCGAAAATACTGAAACTCTTAAGAACAGTAATAGGACATATGACATACAGTCAAACATACCCACCTCGATCTTAATAAAACCACCAATTCTGTTTCGACGTAGTCAATCTACCAGTGTGTCACGTAAATCTGGTGTACGTTTTGATACTGAAAAGAAAAATATCAAATTAGTTACAAATTATTCTCATTATTCAATGTTGTACAATAACAATAATAACAATAAACAAAGTAACAAATTAAAATTGAATTCACCTCAAACATCCGTGTCAGTTGTAACTATATGAAACTAAAAAAAAGCAAATTTGTCTAATGAAACTAACATTCACTTGTTCTTTCTTATTAATATGTAACATGCCTTTTTAGAAATTACTGGAATACTTACAAAATGTCAAAAGCGTATTGTAATTTTGTTAATGATGATGATGATGTCTATAAGGTTTCAGTTTTAGATACTGTAGAAATATTTTTCAATAAGAGCAGTTATAAAAGTGTATCAAAATGTTATTGTCCTCTTTTTCAATCTCGTTTGTTTGATTTTTTAAAAGTTCTAGCTACCAGTTATAAACTAGACTTATTTTCGTCACATATTCGGTTAGATGTCTTTAGTGGCTGGAGATGGCCATTGCGAAATCCTGAACCTAAATTTCATAATCGTAAGCATTGAGTGACAGCAATCTTGAAGGAACTGATACTATTTGTGATGGTCTGAACCCTAATACATATACATCAAGGTGTTTGACACAATAATACATTTGAAAACCATCATGAGAGGAACTAATGTTGCCGAAGTGTATACATGTAAGTGTCCTTTTGTTAACTTAGCATACAACTTCTAGATTAATATTCACAAGCAATAAAAAACTGTATGTTTAGTCTATGCTTTTACATACATCTGTCAGTGGGCGAAATTCCAGTTTGAAGTTGAACATAAATTGCATAGTGCTGTGCAAAATTAATATAGTTCAGTCTAAATAAGTTCTTCCTTTACTTCAAGAACTACACTGTCAGAAACCTTTTAAAACTGTTGAAAATATTCCAAAGACTATATTGCAAGCCATGAAAAAGTTGAAACTACTACAATTCTTCTGAGTCTAAACAGTGAGATTTCATCCTATAGTAAAAAGATTGTTGTTTTCTCTCAGAAGAGCTAGTTAATTTCGATAACCTAAAAGGAGGGAAAATTTAAAGGATTTACTGAAAACGGCTATGTAAAAGATTTTATTTTTAAACTTCACTTTTGTCTTTGGGCTTCAAATCAGTCTAGAAGTTAGTTAAAGATATCTCAAACTTCAGTCTTAAACAATAAAGATGGAAGAATCTGAAAATTATTACCAGTCATTATTTGATCAATAAATGTTTAGGTATAATGTATTTTCTTTGTGTATTTACAGTATCCACTGGGTTTATTTATTTCAGAAGGTTGATTGGGCATAAAATGAATTTTGCAACCGTATACACAGCAAAATCATCCTAAGAATTTTAATGATGATGAAATAATCTAGAGTGATGTCAGAACAATGGTTAAAGTAATTAAATGATATAATAGAATGATACATATCGAATAGTCATATTTTTATTGGTTTGCAAAGGTGCTTCTGCTATGGCTTGCGATCGCTAGCTCAATACCAAGTGTTATATTGCCCAATCAGAATTCAGACCATGATTTTCTTGATATCGCGTCTAATATTCTGTTTATGACCAATAACACGTTTGACCTGCACAGTTAACCCTGACCCAATGCAAGTTCATCGCCTATTGGTCTACTATACTCTGTCCCTTCCATTGAGTCCAAAGAGAAATAAGCAGTCAGCCTCTGCCATCATTATAGTTTCAAGCATAAGTGAGTCGATACACAAACATAATGGACCACATCATACCATAAAATGAATAAATCACAATGATAAACAAGTCAAAAGTGGCTGTGATCAAGACAAGCTGTATGTAATAAACCGGCGACAGATTAGGAATAGTGAGTCGATATGACATTACTTAATAGGTGAAGCTTAAAATACACGAAATACATAAACCTAGTAATCCAGTTACTTGGTAACTGCACAATAAAAATACAAATAATCATAATTTTAAAAATGGTTATAAAAGTTCCAACTTTTACAATATTCGTCCTGTTATAGAATTTTCGAAGAGAGATAATGAAGTCAACTGAAATCAGCCGTAACTTGAAAATAAAATTCCATGAAAAAAGCGTAATATCGATTAAATTAAAAGGGCTGGTACTAAGTCAAGCCCACATAGTTTATTCTAACCTCTGGACAGATCGATCTATTCACTCTTCTCAAGCTACATTTTGACCTTGTCAATTATCTGCTTATCAACCTTGACTGTTTTTGTATGTGTGTGCATTTCGTATCTTATTCACCACATGTCTGTAACTTATTTTTGCTCTACTGTAAAAATCGATTCACGCTTGGTTAAATTGAGTTGGCCTGCATGCCATCTTCATCGTGTGTTATTTCACTTGACTCTCATATCTTTGTTTCGTTTCTCCGCTCTTTAGTCTGGATAAACAATTGCATGAAATATATATACAAAATCCATTCTCGTATTTGGCTTATTTAATTCCGCTATTCACTAACACGTATTAAGTCCATAATTACATACGAAGATAGCCGACATTTGTGTTTCGACAACGATCAATTATACGATCCACTTGGAGTCAGATATCGTGCCACTAAAATACCACTAATTAAATATTTAAAAGCAAAAATAGTTCATCCAAAGTTGTACTAATATTTATGTACTGTAGAATGAGAAAATATAAATCTAAATGTAACGCAAACAATTGTGTTTTATTTTATTATGTCAGTAGATCTATTTGTAAATTAAAACACAAGTGAATAATTATTAGTGAAACTGAACAATCAATACTTCATTTTGGTTCTGTCTGTGAATAATACTGCTTATATTTTGGTCATAGTTACTGGATAATGAAGTGGAGTAAGGCTTTTAACGAACTGATTACCAGTGTTATTATTGAAAATTCATAATCGTATGAATACTGATCAACATTTTGAGACGACGAATTATTTTCAAAAGGTAATAGTATGATGTATCTGAACCCATGGTAAAATTACGGCTAATAACTTGACTAATTCTATGTGGAATTATCAATTCTATGCGTGTTCTATTCAAGAGAATTCAAGACCATTATTCATCTTCGCTTTTGAGGCGAGAATGGACAATAAGATGCGTCATAATCGAGCACCCTGTGAACACAGCCTGCTCGATCTAAACAGACGCGGCTTTTCAAGTCATTTACAGGGTAAGAAGAAAGCTATCAAAGATATTGGGCTCCTGTTTTCTTAGAGTTACCGAAACATTCGCCATATATCTAAAAAACAAGAACTATATGTGCAGAACAGTTTGTCGAATCTCTGGTTCCAACATAGTTTTAATCTTCTTTTCTTTTTCCAAAACCACTACAAACCTTTCACTCTCCTTACGTAGTGATACTTTACCCCTAACTGGTTTTTTCTCCTTTCATGCAGTTTCTAATCACAATTTCCAGTTTCAATCCTTTTTTAATAGTTACTAATCGTTATTTATCTTCATGCTGAATATTCCAGCTCATAAGAACAACATTTTCAGTTAATTAACAATGATAACTCTTTTGTGTTTTTGTTTATTCAGTGTCTCCTTTACCATGTTTAATAAATGTATTGTTATTATTATCATCATTACCAGACATGTTGTTTATGGTCATTTTGATAAGAAGTCTATATTTGCGATTGTATAGCTTTGAAAATGAATAATCATCCCATTTAATCACATGTCATATTCCCTTCCGTAGTAACATTTATTTTAAAAAATCGTTATTAATTATTGAAGTTTTAACATTATTATTGTTTAAATAAAATTCCTAAATTTGAAATGATCTTTTTTTTTGTTATGAATAGAACAAGAAGAAAAATATTCAATAGTTACTGGAAAATTCTCTTGATGTTGTTTGCTTGTATCTTCCCATTGTTATTTAAGACTGCAATTGATCAGTCTCTTGTTAGCATATGTACATCCTGTGCGGATTGTTTCGATATAGCCTTAAGTCACAAGTTTTATAAGCAAAGATAGATATTAGTTAGTTGTGGAATCTAGAACGAGCCGGATGTACCTGCATCACAGAGTTGATGTTCACTCTGAGACTCAAACACAGTACCATTAACTTCAAACGCCATCACGTTATCCATTTAACTACTGAGTCCTGATAGCCACATGCTAGTGCAATGGAGTAAAGTTTAGAAATTGTTCTATACTCTTCCCATATTTATTGTTGCTTTATTAATCTTCATCGAAATGAATATTTTTAATTATAAATGATATGAAGTATGTACATAATTTTTAGTGGTCAATATGATTGTATTCATGTTTTAATGTAGCTGAACAGAAACTATAAAATAAAATGAGTTTTGCCATGTTTATTTCTCTTATTCTATTGAAATTCTTAAGTTGGTTTTATCGTTTCTGATAAGATTAAAACTCCAATGTTTATTGCTCTTATTCATATAGGTTCATTATACTCAGTTGTTTAAAGCTAAGCAAATCATTTCTTTTACTATCATTCGTAAATTAAATGTCAATCATTGTTATGATATTTTGTTTGAATAAGTTTAATCTTTGTAAATAATCAAAATAAATTTGAAAGAGCTTAAAAGCTTTATATCTTCAAAGAGATTAAAGAATTATATAGATATCTACCTGATAAACAAACATCATCGTTGAATAGACATAGACTTATATGAATAAACATTATGAATATAGATTAAATGAGTTATTTACAAGTAAAAATGAGTTATTTATAAATCCACCAAGCTTATAATGGAATAAATCTTATCAAATTATAACTAATATTAGTAATAAATCAGTACAATGATAAACATCATTGTATAGTTTGTTTTTGACGTTTAGTTTTTGTTTATTTATTTTTTTTTGGGAGGAATCATCATAACATAAACTTAAAGATTAACCATAATATTATGGAGACTTGAATGAAAAGAAAGAAATTGCAGGATAGTGTTTCATGTCATGATAAAAAATAGATGAAATTTAATCCTTAAAATAAGATTGTTTAGGCACTCAAAATATATAATCAATCGGTTGGATTCTTTTAAAGAGTAATTTGGTTTCTTTATATAAGCGTACAACTTATATGATCTTAATGTCGCTTTGTTTGTTTACAAGAAATGTTGATATGAACTATTGAATAAGTTTATTTGATTGTTACATATCAATGTTAGTTAGTTTAGCATTTTGTTTTATACTCAGATTATATTCCTTAGAGAATAGTAATGAAATGAAAGTTACTCATTTTATATTATTCAGTAATCAACTTGTTTTGCTGATATCTTATTAAGTATCATTATTATGACTTTTTAACGTTCATCATATGATATACTTTCATTATCTTTGAAAACAATTAAATTCGGTATACTGACTAGTAGTATTTATAACTATCTGATTCGTACTCTAGTAGTCACGTAAGGACCAGTATT